ACATTGAAATGATTTTTCGCCTGTATTATTATTTTCATGCAATTTCAAGCTACTTTCGCAAATGTTATGATGAAGTGGCATCTTCCCTGTATACGAATTTTCAACAGATTCCACATCAGTTCTTTCATTCAAATCATTTGGCTGGTCTTCGTTTTCATCATGAATTCTACTCTCTCTAATTGAATTCGAAAAATTTCCAGAACTACGTATTTCTGTAATTTCCTCCGTTTCACATGATATTTTGGGTTGAACAAAATGAACACTTTCATTTAACATATTTTCATTGATTATCTCCTCTTCCTTCCCAACAATTGTTTCTTCTTGGGTTCTAAAAAGAGAGCTTTCAAGATCTGTAAAAAATAATTTCATAAAGAGATAATAAGAGCACCGTATTTCAGTACATAATTACATTGATGATAGGTCACGAGAAACATGTTATTTTTAAATCAAAATATTCATGAAAAATATGACGCTCTGAAAAAGCACTGCCACCTGTTGGATATAATCCAACGCCCTTAGTGGTATTTGCCAAGGGAGTAATTGTTTGCTGATAGGTGTCGATCCAAAAATGTTTGTGTAGGTAAGGAAAGACTGCCCCAAACAAATTATTCTTTTAGACAATACGATTTATTATATATTCACATTAGAGACGATCAATGATTTTATACAGTGCCAAGAAACAGTATAATTTTATACAGGTGGAATTTCATCATGACCTAATGATATTATTCAATATTCATTTCAATAATATATCAACAATTTCTATGATGATCATTTCGAAGAATTAATATACTGCTTCTTACCAATTTTTTAGGACTTGTGCTTAAGGAAATATGACCATTTGAAATTGTGGTGTTCACAAGTGAACTTTTTTGAGTTTTGAAAACTAAAAAGGATTATTTTTACAAAAACTACACCTCACGATTTGATCTCCAGAAAAAGTTTGTATATATCAAATCGTGAGGTGTAGTTTTTGAAAGTACTATGGATCTTCATCAAGTAACAGCCGAATCAATCAGAAAATGAAAAGAATTATTTTCCGAATCGTCAATCATTTGAAGAAAGCTGAGTATAGAAATTTCATTTCTTTCATTCATTGTGAATTCCCTGTTCTGTGGAAATTTCACAATAAAGTTTTAGTTGAATCATCTCAGTCATTGTAGCTTAGTTACCCAGATATAATTTTCTATGATCAGTTTTTGGTTCTTTCTTCTCAAACTATTAGTAAAATAAATGTGTTACCTGAAGCAAGTGGTTTCAAATCCACAGTCATATATTCCTCTTGCATAGTATTGGACCCATTCTGGCATTGGCAACAGAATTTCCAATGATCAGAGCTGAAAAAATCAGTTGGACCAAGTAAACCTCCTCCACATACCTCACAGTGTGAGGCTTCTTTCACTTCTTCCAAGTACCTTTCATATTTCAGATCATGATCAACAACATCAATGAGATCTTCCCTTTTGACTTGTTTTGGCTCTAATTCATATTTTATAATCCTTTGGACTGCATTACATTCCTCCTCCTCTTTAATTAATCTTCCACAATTATCAGTAGTCATTATCTAGTTCAATTTTCAAGGAAGGGACAACGTGAATTTGTTACTACTACTTATCTTTGGGTCACTTTCCTCACAATCTGAAGAATTAAATTCAACTGTATCCTGTGCTAATACGGTAAATGAAAAGTAAACACGGTGAACACAATGTACTTTCCAATTGATTCTGAAATGTATTATACGCCTCCAAAATGTCTAACAACCCATCTCATACGTTACGGGCCGCCTCGCACACGTATCTTATATGAAACAGTGTTACCAAGACGGAATCAACAAAATACTCACTAGGAGAAAAATATACTCACACACTTTACCCGCTTCATTCGACAAAATCCTCACGTGGTAACTTTTTTCGAAGATATATTTTATCATTCTCAATATGAGAACATCAATAATTTTGATTCCTAGTAAATAAAACAGAAAAAAGGACAATTTTCATGAATGCATGAAGCTTATGAAACAATAGATTTTGATATATGAAAAGAAACGGAAAACTCTTGTTTTTGAAGTAAAAATAAATAAAACTCGTATTTTCCATATTTACGAGCATGTCAAGTAAAGAACTTTGAAATATCAGAAAACTAAATCGAAATATTCAAAATGAAAAACCATTTGAATTGACTTCAAGTGATGCGACCCCATGATTGCCAACTGCGTCAAAATAATGACATTTGACATCTGCTAATGCAGATTTTGGCCTCCGAAACGGTAAGATAAGACAAAAAATTGTAATTCAACTTGTTTATTTTGTGTTCGAGGCGAAATTTAAAAGTGTTAAGTGGACACATATACATTTTTAATCGTATACATTATATTATTTTCTGCTCACTCATCTTCTTCAAAGTTTTCCTCGCCATGAAAGTCATCTTCATTATCCATTACATCAGTTTCTGTAACAATAAAGCCTTAATTTGTAAACTGAACCAAATACATATAAACATTGTATTGTATGTTTCTTGGGAAAATGAATTGTTATTATTATTATTAATACAATTCATTATTATAATTGCCTTACCACGGATTTCACTAATAAAGTCACTAACAAAGCCTGGACGTTGATCTCCTTCACACCATTTGAAGACAAATGAATTTTCTCGTTGAATCCAACAATATTCCAATGGATTCAACTTTGTAGGTTGCTTTTTGAAGGCATTTCTCCAAATACAAGAAGTGTAATGAGCCCTCAAAAATTGTCGATAAAACTCAGACTTGTTCGGTAGTATTGAAGTTGCATCAAAAGTATACACTTTTTTGCTGAAACTTTCATTCAGCAGCCTTGTAGCTGTTGATAAATATCTGATATCGTCCATCATCCACTGTCTTCACATTTTTTGGCATTATTCATCTGGCAAGTGAACCCTTCATTAATACTAAACAATAGATGTAACTCATGCTCTGTTAAATCTTGGTCATCAAGAGGTGCAAAAGCCTATTTGAATTCAAAACTATCTTTCAGCAAAGTAAATGACCTTCTTTTTCCTTTATTGAAGAAAGCAGAACTAAAATCACACCCAGAGAAAGCATGAAAACCGATAAAACTTTTGGCTAATGTTTAACCTAGCTGTTTACACATTTCTATAATCTTTCATTGTTCCCAGTTCCTATCCGCATCCAAACATGAGAAGCAGGATTCTTAAATTGAGCCATATCACCAATCATCAAGAACGAAAGAAAGAAATTTATTTATTCATAGACCAACTACATGGTATCGAACATATCAATTTATACTTTTTCGACAATATCTACAATTTTATAAGATTGACAATTTCGGAAATTCAGATTAATCGGTCGATTACTTAAAAATGATACTATTTCGTCACTGGACAACTGTTAGATTAAAAAGTCAATCAGAGTTTTGTTGAGCTTCATCAATTCTTTAATGAAATCTGCCGGTCGCAATTGGTCAGGCCAGAAATTATATACTCAATTAACGATTTCATTGTATCTTCTTAATAGTAACGCTTTTTAATTTTACTGCATTTTCACTATAATTAGGATTCAGTATTCATTTTTTTTTCCAATCTGCTATTTTGCATTCAATAACCTAGTAATGAATTCAAGAAAATAAACCTCAAATCGTTCAACTCTACCAAAGTACCTAAACAGTGGGTTCTGGTAAACGCATGCTGGAAAATAGCTACTTTCCCGGCTAATATCATGCTGGACATTGAATTATATCCGACAGACATTTGCGGAAGATACCTCACAGAAGTTCGTCTTGTACATGTTTCACGTTTATTCAAGTTGGAATCTTCAGGAGATAATTTATTTTATACTAAAATGGTTTCTTTCCAGTATGAAGTTATTCTTTTCTCAAGGGCCTACTTTTAGTGAATGACTTTGAGCAGTATGAATTTGTTCATTCAACTTCAAGTTACGTCTCTCAATGAATGATTTGGAGCAGATTTTACACAAAGATGTATTTTTGCTAATAACCATTGTCACGTCTTTTCAAATTATTATACTAACTGAATGAATTTAAGCAGATATTACACTGAAAAGTTTTTCGCCAGAATGAATTTTTTCATGTTCTTTCAAATGACTGCATTGACGGAATGATTTAGAGCAAATTTTACACTGAGACGGTTTTTCGCCGGTATGAATTTTTTCATGTTCTTTCAAATGACTGCATTGACGGAATGATTTAGAGCAGATTTTACACTGAAACAGCTTTTCGCCAGTATGAATTTGTTCATGTATTTTCAAGTAACTTTTGCGAAAGAATGATTTAGAGCAGATTTTACACTGAAACGGTTTCTCGCCAGTATGAATTTTTTCATGTCCTTTCAAATAACTTTTGCGAAAGAATGATTTAGTGCAGATTTTACACTGAAACAGTTTCTCGCCGGTATGAATTTTTTCATGTTCTTTCAAATGACTGCATTGACGGAATGATTTAGAGCAGATTTTACACTGAAAGGGTTTTTCGCCAGTATGAATTTTTTCATGTATTTTCAAGTAACCACAGTGATTAAATGATTTAGAGCAGATTTTACACTGAAACAGTTTTTCGCCAGTATGTATTTTTTCATGTGTTTTCAAGTTACCACAGTGATTGAATGATTTGGAGCAGAAGTTACATCGAAACGATTTTTCCCCTGTATGAATTTTTTCATGTCTTTTCAAACTGCTACTTCCATTGAATGATTTACAACAGATGTTACACTGAAAAGATTTCTCGCCAGTATGAATTTTTTCATGTTTTTTCAAATCACCTCCATGAATGAATGATCTAGAGCAGATTTTACAGTGAAACGGTTTTTCGCCAGTATGAATTGTTTCATGTCTTTTCAAATGATCACACCGAAAGAATAATTTGGAGCAGATTTTACACTGAAACGGTTTTTCCTTAATATGAATTTGTTCATGGTTTTTTAAATCACTAGGCCCAGTATATGATCTAGAGCAGATTTTACATTGAAATGATTTTTCGCCTGTATTAATATTTTCATGCAATTTCAAGCTACTTTCGCAAATTTTATGATGAAGTGGCATCTTCCCTGTATAGGTATTTTCAACAGATTTCACATCAGTTCTTTCATTCAAATTGATTGACTGGTCTTCGTTTTCCTCTGTTTCACATGATATTTTGGGTTGAACAAAATGAACACTTTCATTCAACATATTTTCATTGATTATCTCCTCTTCCTTCACAAAAATTGCTTCTTTTTGGGTTCTAAAAAGAGAGCTTCCAAGATCTGTAAAAAATAATTTTATGAAAAGAAAATAATAGCCACTTATTTCAGTACATCGTTACATTTATGATAGGTCATGAGACACATTATTTTTAAATCAATTTATTTTTTATCAGATTTTTCAGATGAAATGCCTCAAATTTCAACATTAACAAGGATTTTTACCAGTATCGATAATAAATAAGTAATTCTAGAATGAGGGAACAACTTACTGAAAGATATCAACAAATCACAAAATAATGATAATACTGTTCTAAAATTACTTAGGTATCTATAGACTAGTCTAACAGCAATTCCCTGTATGCTGATGGTCAGAAACTTGAATTTGTGAAAGAATTCAAATATTTAGGTTTTATGTTGGACAACAGTATGTCTTTTGGTGCACACTATAACTATATGACTAAAAAGATTTCAAAAAAACTATATTTCTTCACTAGAATTTCGAAACACCTTTCTATGACGTTACAACTGTCGATTCCGACAGTTGTAACGCCAACAGCATATGCAGGAATACCTTAAGTGAACAATCCAGCACTGGACTTGTGCCGAAGGAAATAGAGCCATTTGAAATTGTGGTGTTGTTCACGAGTGAACTTTTTTGGGTTTTGAAAACTGAAAAGGATTATTTTACAAACCGTCAACCATTCGAAGAAAGCAGAGTATAGAAATTTTATTTCTTTCATTGATTGTGAATTCCTAAACTGTTCTGTGGAAATTTCACAGTAAAGTGTTAGTTGAATCATCTCAGTCATTGTAGCTTAGTTCTCCAGAGTAATTTTCTATGATTTAAAACCATTTTTTTTAATTATATATTTTTGGTTCTTTCTTCTCAAACTATTTGTAAAATAAATGTGTTACCTGAAGCAAGTGGTTTCAAATCTACAGTCAAATATTCATCTTGCATAGTATTAGACCCATTCTGGCATTGGCAACAGAATTTCCAAAGATCAGAGCTGAAGAAATCAGTTGGACCAAGCAAACCTCCACATACCTCACAGTGTGAGGCTTCTTTTACTTCTTCAAAGTACCTCTCAGATTTCAAATCATGATCAACAACATCAATGAGATCTTCACTTTTGACTTGTTTTGCCTCTAATTCATATTTCATAATCCTTTGGACTGCATTACATTCCTCCTTTTCCTCCTCCTCTTTAATTAGTCTTCCACAATTATCAGTCGTCATTATATACTTCAATTTTCAAGAAAGATAACCACAACGTGGATTTATCACTACTTATCTTTGGGTAACACACAATCTGAAGAATTAAACAAAACTTTATATTGGTAAAGAAAAAGTGAATAATAGAGCACAATATATTTCTTTCCAATTGAATCTGAAATGTAATACCATAGTATATACAGAGACAAGTTGGTTGTCTCTGGTATATAATACGATACGATACGCTTCACACACGTATGTCGTATCTTATATGAAACAGTGTTACCAAAACGGAATTGTCAAAATACTCACTAGGGCCACCGTAAAGATACGGTGCTAGGAAATTTCGGTGACATTTTTTATCATTTTCAATATGACATCTATAGGACCATTTCAAGTATTTTCATTATATAATAATCACTAGCTACCCTGGAAACCTAGAAGGATCCGAAATGGGTTAACTACATGATATTGACATTTCATGAAGATAAAAAACGTTCTGTGAACGTATTACTAAAAAAGAAATAAAATTGAAGTAACAAAAGTAAATTGATGTTTAGATAGAATGCAAGAACGTCATTTCTTATAATGAAGAACAAGCAATTCAACTGAAAGGTTAATTAGTAATATAAGAAATCACATTTATTTTAAAAGCCGTAGATCATAAAGTTTATACCAATTTCTTCTTTATATTCCAGTTGATTGAACCATTATATTCCTATTGGTAATTTTAGAAATAATTTGGCTGTTTTGACATTTTTTGAAAAAATCATTTAACCAGATAGAATGTCTGCACAAGAATTATTATATCAATTGAATTTGGGTCCATTCCGTAAGGTATATCAAAATTATATGACCATTTTGGATATAAAAAGTTTGAGAGCGAACATGTCCAAAACCATTTCGCGAGTCCTGCCCTCTTACCGTCACTTCCCAAAATGGCGTCTAGATACTTTTCCACATCAAAGGCGGCATGGCCAAGTGTCCATGCTTATTGTTATCTATGCTGTGAATTGATGATGTCGAGATGTACGCCCTGCACTCAAACCATATGTACCTTTCTCATCAACTATACTAACGCAAACATAAGTATGAGGCACACAAATAGATGAACCCATCTTAAGAGTCCTATTGCTATTCTGAAAGATTATCGTCCAATAGTGTTCCAAGAGATGCAGCAGGTAAAGCATTCAGCCAAGCACCCGATTACTTGATCATTGCTGCTTTCAGACGAGCCTTATCGTATACACTTGTAGATTTCAGAAGTTTATCAGTTATAATGTTCTTTTTATATGTAGGAGGAGCAATATTAGTTGCGGCATGCCAAAGTGAATCACCTTCAGCATACAAAACTTGGATATTGATAAATATGGAAGGAAGGATGGAATATAATATGAATCACAAAGATAACATTAACAGGATTCAATATTCAATTTTTTATGCATCTTGTATTTTTTTTCTGAACTGCTATCTTGCATATTTGTCATCCAATAAACTAATCATCACTTTGAGAAAATAAATATTTCACAATGAAATCTTGAAACATTAAAATCTCCCAAAGTACCTACACCTTAGGTTCTACACCTTAGCTTAGGTTTAATGCAATTTCAATCCACTTTTGCGAATTTTAGTTTAAGTATAAAACTGACCATTAAAAAAACAAAAACAAGGAAAAAGGGTTGTCTTTGAGTTANAATCCTTCTATTTTTGAAATTGGCAAAGTAGTCAATTACTTCGTCATAAAATCGGGGGTTGTCTAACAGTTCTTTTATATACTCTTTTTCAATTGAAAGAAGAGATATATTACTTAATTTATTTTGAGTCATCGAATTTCTACTGAAGGATTCAATTCTTTTCAATGCTGAAAAATTTCTCTCAACTGACGCTGCTGTTATGGGAATTGTCACAATTATACATACAAGTTTAAACAACTCGGGCATGAAATCTCTCAAATCATTTTTAAACATAAAATTTAATAAATCTGAAGGTGACTTGCAATTTAGAAACATTTGAGGGTCGCTGTACATTACGATTAATTCATTTTTCAGTTGAATAACATCGAAAAATGGATACTGAGCTATTAAGTCGTTATAAAGTTTTTGGGGAAAATCTTTGTTGAAGGACGAAAATTTTTTAAATAACAACAAATCAAAGTAGTTTAATTTGAGTAAATCTTCAAATCTAACTTTGATTTGCATTAAAAAGGTGTCCAATATTTCATTATAAATCTGTTTATAATTTTGTCTCAAATCGGGTAAGTCCAAATTGGTTTTTCTTTTTTTCGGTGCCGGCGGTTCGAGAGTTACATCAATTGATTTGAAAATATTATTAAAAAATGTATCGTTATTTCTAAAATTCATCAAAATTTCTGTCAAATTGATTAACCGTTGTTTTGAGTAATTAATATCTGTTGATTTATTTTGAAGAAGAGAAAAAACAACATCGGTATGTTCAAATATTAATTTAAATATTTCTAATAAGAAACAAAACTTGTGATCATTTAAAATATATTTCAAACCTCTCGCCTCCCTAAGACTTTGGTAGTCGGTTTTAAAATCGTCACTGTTTAGGATAAAATCAAAGACATCAATCAATTTGTCTTTGTTTAAATGCACTGAAATTACTGCTCTAGATGTAGAATTCCAACGCGCAGCAGCAAAAGTTGGCATTCGGCTACCACATATTTCATTTAAAACATGACTTCTTTTGGTGGATTTTGAAAAGAATGCCGAAAATCCAGACAAACTTGAAAAAAATACGCGGCAATCTTTTATGTTGTTGCATGCTTTGCTTAAAACTGAATTTAGGTCATGGGCATAACAAGGCGTAAAAACTGCATGAGGAGCTATGGACTTTATTTTAGTTTGTAAACCATTTAAATGGCCGGCAATGACCGCAGCCCCATCATAAGTTTGCGCGATCAACTTTTGCCTAAAATTATAGGTGTCACACGTACGAATTAAAAAATTGAACAAATCGTCAGCTGTGCGCCCAGATGGAACATCATGAAAACCCATAAAACGTTCCACCACATTACCATCTTTGACATATCTAAAAACGATGGAAAGTTGTGATGTACAGGTAATATCGGTAGTTTCATCAATTTCCCATGCAAAAAAAGAAACACTTTCAATCTTCCTTGCTTATATTTTCCTTAATTATATATGCCACACTGTCTATAAGCTCATTTTGGATGGTTTTTGAGGTGCCCGAAAAAACTCTACCGTTTAAAAAAGTGCCAAATTGTGAATCATATTTGCCCCACAACATTAAAAGTTCCTTGTAACTGCCGCGATTAATCGAATCTTCAGTTTCATCGTGTCCGCGAAAAGCTAATTCTTGTTGGGAACCCAAATAAATCGTAATATCGATAAGTCTTTTTAAATTCGACCGATTTTCCCTAACCTGATTATTAAAAGAAATTACGGCCTCTTTTTGAGCTGTATCTAAAGCTGTTGTTTTATTTTGTTTGCTAAACAATTTTAATTTACAAGACGAATATATATGCTCCTTAGATTTAAAATGTCTTTCTGTAGAACGAGGTAAATTTTTTAAATCGGAGTATCCTATTTTAGACCACGTTTGCGTTTGGTATTCGGTTTGTCCGGAAAACAAAACACAGGGCCAACAAAAAAGTTTTTCTCGTTTAACGGAGCCGGTTAACCAATCGCATTTATCGTACCAACCAATATTAAATCCACGATTTTGTCGATTATCCGACGCTTTAATTGAAATCAAATTTGGTTGAGGCCTTCCCAAAGTTTTAATAATGTAAAATTTATCATCATAAGATAAAGACTTAAAATTATTTGTCAGCAACCAATCGACTATATCGTCACTACACTCTCTAATTGAATTCAAACTATATATTTCAGTAATTTCCTCCGTTTCACGTGATATTTTGTGTTGAACAAAATGAACACTTTCAATAGCACATTCTTTTTCACTTGACGTATTTTCATTGATCATTTCCTTTCCAACAACTATTTTTTCTTGGGTTCTATGAACAGAGGTTCCAAGATCTGTAAAAAATAATTTTATGAAGAGAGAATAAGAGCAATTTATTTCAGTACATAGTTACATTTATGATAGGTCACGAAAAACCCTTAGTAAATCAAAATATCAAAGAAAAATGAGATTTTTCAGTTTCAGCTACAGAATTCAACATTTATAAAAAATTCAACAGTTTCGATAATAAGCCGCTTCCCAACAAGGATTTATGACAAAATTTTGTTGAAAATAAATGTTTTATGGCAACCATTGACAATGTTGGTTTTTTTTCTCAAACCTTAAGTAGAATACATGTGTTACCTGAAGTAAGTTGTCTCAAATCCAGTGTCATATCTTCCCCTTGCCTATCATTAGACTCATTCTGGCATTGGCAGTTATAACAGAACTTTGAATGATCAGGGCTGAATAAATCGGCTGGACTAAGCAAACCTTCTCCACATACCTCATAATGTGAGGCTTCTGTTAGTTCTTCCGAGTACCTTTCAGATTTAAAATCATGATCAACATCAATGAGATCTTCGCTTTTGACTTGATTTAGCTCTGATTCATACTTTGAGATACTCATTTGGGCTGCATTACATTCCTCCTCCTGTTTAATTAGTCTTCCACAATCATCAGTATTCATTATGTAGTTCAATTTTCAAGAAAGATGGCGGGAAAAGGTTGTTTTGTTTGTCACTACTTATCTTTGGGTTATTCCTCACAATCTGAAGAATTAAACTGAATTGTATCCTTGTGCTAATACGAGCTAATAAAAAGTAAACACGGTAAACACTAATTAGGAGTACAATATTATTTTTTTTCCAATTGTATCTGAAATGTAATATACGCCTCGCACACAAATCTCGTACCTTAAATGAAACGGTGTTACCAAGACGGAATCGTCAAACTCCTCACTAGAACAAAGAAATATCACAGAATAATTGTTTGGTTTTCTGCGAAAATATATTCACACATTTTACCCGCCTTCATTAGAAATTCCCCACAAAATTCTAACATGGTAATTTTTTTCGAATACATTTTTTTTATCATTTTCAATTTAACAACTGTTATATTCTTGATATTAATCATACAGCCATGTATTTAAATAAATTACTTTAATATAATAAAACAAGATTCATCCTCTTCATACCACATACTACTACCACAGAACACCCTAACTAGTTCGTTGTTCGTCAACCTAGGTATGTTCGTTGAC